AAGGCAGAATTCTAAGGCAGTCTCAAGAATTCTTACCTTCTGGTTGGTGTACACACCTTACATAATTCCCTTACCTGTAAATATGACGGAATATCAGTGCTCATGGCGATGTTACTACTCTGTTGACTTCTTAATCAAAAGGGAGATTATCCCAGTGGGACTTACCTAATCAGGCAACCTCGTAAATGGGCCTGGGCCGTTCTAGAAAGTGAGACTTGAAGCATGAGAGGGATATTGAAGAGCCATGTGGCAAAGAGCAGCTATCAGTCTCTGGAATGGTCTGTGGTCGACAGTGAAAAAATGGGAAATTCAGTCCTACAGCCACAAGGAACTGAATTCCACCAACAACCTGATTAAGCATGAAAGAGGACCTCAAACCTCAGATGAGACAGCAACCCTGGCAGGCACTTTGGTTTCAGCCAGGTGGGACCTGAGCAGAGAAACCAGTTATGTTGGGCCTGGGCTTCTGACTATGAGATAATACATGAGTGTAGTTTGTGCTTTATTTTTTAAATTCAACTTTTAATTTTGAGATCACTGTAGATGCACATGCAGTTGTAAGAAACAATACAGAGAAATCCAGTGTACCCTTTACCCATTTTCAACCAACGGCAACATCTTGAAAAACTACAGCATGACGGAAGATCAGGATATTGACAAGATACAGAACAATATCATCACCACAAATACCCTTTCTATTATCCTTTTATAGCCACCCCACTTTACTGACTGCATCTGCTTCTTCCAACACCCATCTCAGCCCCTGGCAACCCGTCCTCCATTCTCCATGTCTATAATTTTGTCATTTCAAGAATGTTATATAAATGTTGTAATCAAGTATGTAACACTTTGGAATTGGCTTTTTTCACTCTGCATAATTTCCTGAAGTTTCATCCAATTTGTTTTGTGCATCAAAAGTTCATTTCTTTTTATTACTGATGTTTTTTTACCACATGGATGTACCATAGTGTGTTTAGCTATCACCTGTTGAAGTACATCTGGGTTGTTTACAGTTTTTGGCCACTACCAGAAAAACAGCTATGAACACTTGTGTGATAAATACCTAGGATTATTTATTCCTAGAAATGGAAACATGTTTACACAAAAAGTTGGAGAAATACAGAAAAGATACAGTGATAGGAGAGGTACAGTTTCTCCACATCCGCACCAGCATTTGGTGTTGTCACTATTTCTTATTTTAGCCATTCTCTGTGTAGTGATATTTCATTGTGATTTTGATTCATATTTCCTTAATAGCTGATGATGTTAAACATATTTTCAAATGCATATTTGCCATCTATATATCCTCTTTGGTGAAATGTTTCTTCATGTCTTTTTCACAATTTCTGATTGTATTACTTTTGTTTTATTTTTCAGTGTTGGGTTTTGAGAGATATTTATGTATCTAGCTACTAGCTCTTTGTCAAATATGTGGCTTGTAAATGTTTTCTTGCTGTTTGAAGCTTGTCTTTTCACTCTCATAATGGGTTATTTTACACAGCAAAAATTTTAAATTTTGATGAAATCCAATCACTAATATTTTCTTTTATGGGTCAGGCTTTTGATGGCAAATCTAAGAACTTTTTGCCTAGTCCTAGATACCCATGATTTTCTCCTGTGTTTTGTTTTCTTAAAGTTTTATCATTTTACATTAAAGCATGTGATTTATTTTTGAGTTAATTCTTTAAAGATGTGAAATTTAAGTTGAGCTTCATTGAAAAGTCTATCCTTCCTCCACTGAATTGTTTTTACACCTTTTGTCAAAAATCAGTTGGGCATATTTCTGTAGGTCGGTTTCTAGTTTCTCTATTTGTTTCATTGATCTATGTGTCTATCACTCTGTAAATATCACAGCTCTATAAGTCTTGAAATCAGGTAGGTTGATTCCTCCCACTTTATTATTCTTTTACAAAGTTATTTTAGCTATTCTGCTTCCTTTATATTTTCATATAAATTTTGGAATAATTGTGTCCATAGCTACAACAATCTTGCTGGGGTTCTAATAGGAATTACATTAAACCTATATGTAAATTTTCAGAGAATTGACTTCTTTATTAAATTGAATCTTCTAATCCACAAACACACTGTATCTCCATTTATTTAGATCTTCTTTGGTTTGTTTCATCAGTGTTTTGTAGTTTTCTGCTACAAAACATGTACAATTGAAGTCCTGTACCTGTTTTGTTAGAGGTGCACTTTGTTTGTTTGTTTGTTTGTTTGTTTTAGCAACTGTAAATGGTATTTGTTTTTTATTTTGGTGTCTATCTGTTATGGACACCAAATACTACTTTCCAGCTGGTAGTATTCCAGCATAGCTAGACTTTTCAAGACAGACTGAAGGGATGAGAGAGAAGTAGGAGATCCTCTCATGGTGATCTAAGGTCCATTCTCTAAGATTCCAAATTCCTGTATCAAGTACTATAACTTCCATCTGTTACGGATGCCAAAATAAAATTCGCTTTTATATGTTTGTTTTATATCTTACAATCTTGAGGAACTCATTTATTAGTTCTAGGAGTCTGTTTTGTAGATTTCAATGGAATTTTCTACCTAGACAATCATTTCATCTGCAAATAGGGATATTTTTATTTCTTCCTTTCTCATCTGCATGATTTTTTTTTCTTTTCGTGCCTTTTGAAATTGGCCAGAAATACCTGTATTACGTCGAGTAAGAGTGGTGAGAGTAATTATTGTTACCTTGTTCTTGATCTTATGGAGAAAGCATTCCATCCTTCACCATAAAATTAGTATTAGCTAGAGCCTTTTGGTAGACACTGTTTATTAAGTTGAGGAGGTTCCCTCTAATCTATTTTTTCTAAGAGTTTTTATCGTGAATACATGTTATATTTTTTTAAATGCTTTTTCTGTATCTGTTGATAAGACCATGTGATTTTTCTTCCTTAGCCATTAATATAGTGGGTTACACTGAATCATTTTCATATATTGCATCAGACTTGCCTTCCTGGAACAAACCTTCCTTAGGATAGTGGAAAGGACCATCAGGGAATGCTTTGCTGGGTTTTTAGCCACCTGATACAGGATGGTGAGAGGTTCAACCAGGAAATGTAGGAAAAAATTTCAGGGTGAGGTTAACAAGTACAAAAGCACTCACACATGAAGCTGGCTGTCTTTTTCAATGCAAATATTTCAGGATGGCAGGAGTGTTGAGCCCAAGAAGGAGAATGGCAGGAGATGAGGCTAAGATATAGGTAAGGCAGAGTTCCGAGAGCTTGTATGGCATGCTCTGGACCTTGGCCTTTCACCTTAAGATGATGGCAACCACTGTGAGGCTAGATGCAGAGAATGATCCAGTAAAGATTGCCTTTTAGAAACCCAGTGCGAGGAGTGGAGTGGAGAACAAAGCCTGGAGAGGGAAATCAGTAGGGATTCCAAAGGAAGAGTTCGGGAAAGAAAAGAGCATTGAATTATTGCACTCACAATCTTCTTTCTTCAAATGCTTCTCCTCTGAGCTACTGACTTTCCTCATTCGCCCTTCCACCACTTCTACTGAAGGGCATCTTAGACTCTCCTTTTTTGTTTCTTCTACATCCAATCAGTAGAGACCATGTCTTCATTCTCCCTGTCCCTTGGCTCTACTTGCTGCCTTCAACTCACAGAGCCTAAAGTATTCATACTCTCCTTACTGGCCTCTACTTCGTACTTCTGTGTTTTTTCTACCTCCAACTCATTCTCCATCTTTGTTCTTGCTTTCATTTTTGAAATTTCCTGTTTTGTTTATTTGTTTTGTGTTTTGGAGACAGAGTCTCACCCCATTGCCCAGGCTGGAATGCAGTGACATGATCTCGGCTCACTGCAACCTCCGCCTCCCAGGTTCAAGTGATTCCTGAACCTCAGCCACCCAAGTAGCTGGGATTACAGGCATGCGCCACCACGCTTGGCTAATTTTTTTTTTTTTTTTTGTATTTTTAGTAGATACAGTGTTTCACCATGTTGCCAAGGCTGGTATCAAACTCCTGAGCCCAGGCAATCTGCCCACCTCGGTCTTTCAAAGTACTAGGATTATAGGCGTGAGTCACTCCACCTGGCCGAAATTCCCTGTTTAAATCACTTCCATTTCTCTACAAAAGTTTCAGGAAGGGTCTGACTGATCTGATACCAGTGAACCAGACTCCTGGCTGCTTGGAGTCAGGGTCTGGGGTCTTAAAAGAATTGCTTTGAGAGGTCGTGGGTGAGATCTTGTGTAAATTGTCATGGGGTCCCCAGTTGAAAGGCAGCCATCTGCAGAGCTTAGTGCCTGAAGAAATACTTCCCCTTTAAACCCTGTTAATTTCTCCTGTGTCCATTCCCTCAAGTAGACTAGCCCAGGATAGGCACACAGGAGCACTAATATGTGCTTGCTGAATTGAACTGATTTGAATCATATTGTTTCAGCCAGTTTATTGCTTTATAGTTTGTCTGTAATCTAATCTGAATTTCTGGAACTTTTCTTCTTACTGAAAAGTCTGCTCCTACTTACTTCAGTGTTAGAAGACCCTTCCCTCTCCATCCTTTGCTATGCTCAGCCTTGGACTTACAGGAGACAGGAGTTCTGGATGTTCCTTGGCCACTCAGATCCCTTGGATACGGAGTCTGTTCACCAAGATGATCCCGCCAGGCTCTCAGGGCACTTCTTAGTGTGGATTGTGACAGCCTTGGGGTCAGGAATTGAACTGCCTTTGTTATTTCTTTGGTGGGGGATGGGGAGGAGCAGGCAAAACACTCCAGTCTGCCCATCCTGGGACAGAACAATATTTATTTAGTAAATGATTGTTAAGATTTGGTTAGATGTGAAATCCTGAGGAAGTAATTTCAAGGACACAAACTAACACTCAGCCCGCAGGTTCGCTGAATCTAGTCTATCACCACCCCCAGCCCCACTGAATTCCTTATCGTCTTTCATCCTTTCCCTCTCAGATCTGCTCCCTGAGCCCTCTTTAGGTCCCTTTATGTCACTAGGCAGCCCGGGCATCCACTCCCAGTACTATCTCTACCTGACTCCTCCCTCTTCTTTCTTTCAGTCCTTGGTTGTTTGTTCACACCTGTCATATCTCCATTTATAACAGCTACTAGGGAGTTCCTCTCCAACCCCAGCCCTATCTGCCGTTGAGGACTATCTGCTTACCTCTCCGCCGTGACCTCTGGCCTTGGGTCCTCCTGCTTCATGTGTCAGGAGCAATGGTGGTGGAATCAACAGTAAGAATTGCTTTGAAGAGAGTCTTCAAGGTGGCTATGGGTGTTGTGAGGATGTGCTGGATGCTTGGTCAAAGGACAAGAGAGCTTCAAAATGGAGACTTACAGGAATCACCTGTGGAAGGGAATAGAAAAACACAATGGCAGATCACAGATTGCTCTTTACCAAGGTTTTAGCTTCCATAACCCCCATGAAAAAATCAAACCCTGGTCCTCCAAGGTTGGCATTGGAAGAAAACAGCCTCAATGTGAATAAGCTGCCTGGATCTCATGGCTCTGACTCTTGGGGTAATAGCTACCTCTTTAATTTTCCTGCCCAAGCCCTGCCCATAATTCTCTCAGTGTCCAGTCCACCCAGTGAAATCATGTTGAACAGATACCTCTTAACTAGAACACTGGGCTCCCCTGCTGTCTCCCCAGCATTTCTGTCCACATTTTGCCACTCAAAGCCCTTCCCACCAAAATCAAAAATAGATGTTATTGGTTTGTCATCCTCAGTTTGTATCTGTGTCATGCATCCTCATATTCCAGATCATAGCTCAGTGACTGCCACAGGATAGATGCCCAATAATTGTTTGTCGAATAAATGAATAGATCAACTTTGCTTAAGGCTCTGGAATAGGAGCAGAGAAAGCATACCCAAAGAGCTACTTGTAAGTAATCTGGCTTTTAAAATGTAAAGTACTCATCTTGAGCTTGTGTTTCTCTCCAGAGCCTCCCTGCCTGGCTCTCGGTATATCTCCACGTCAGTCCCTTCCCAGCTGGTAGTATTCCAGCATAGCTAGACCTCTCAAGACAGACTGATGGGGTGAGAGAGAATTAGGACAGCCTTCTCATGGTGGTCTGAGGTCCATTCTCTAAGATTCCAAATTCCTGTATCAAGTACTATAACTTCCTTGGGTGATAAATTCTGGGAATATCTGTCTCATCATGCGCTTACTCTAGGTCAGAAAGGAAAACAGCTTTCATCCCCTTTGCCAACTTTCATCAGTTTCTCCCTGAAGTACTCTATTGAGAATTAGCCAGAAAGAGTAGGTGATCAATTAACAGTGTCTGCCATGGATGTGGGAGGGAAGAAAGACAGCATTCATGGAGTGCATTGCCTATGATCTCAGCAGAACAATCTGTCATTATACAATAAAAGCAGTCAATACCCACACTTACAGGGATTATTTCGCACTTACCCCTTCAGGTTTGAGATGTTTTTTGATGCTCTCCATGCCTTCTACTCTGCTACGGAAACTTGAAGAGGGGGAAATTTTAATAATTTTTATCAGCTTCTGATGCAATTTCTTTTCTTCCGAAATACAACTGAAGCTGAAGGAAACAACGACAACAGGACGGTATTACTTAAGTCCAAGTCAACCTTTTTTTTTTTTTTTTTTTTTTTTTCCTTAAGAGACTGAGTCTCATTCTGTTGCTACTGCAACCTCCACATGCTGGGTTCTAGCAATTCCCTGCCTCAGCCTTCCAAGTAGCTGGGACTATAGGCGCATGCCACTGTGCCTGGCTAATTTTTTATATTTTAGTAGAGACAGGTTTTCACCGTGTGGCCCAGGCTGGTCTTGAACTCCTGAGCTCAGGCAATCCACTTGCCTCAGCCTCCCAAAGTGCTAGGATTGCAGGCGTGAGCCACCATGCCCGGCTCCAACCATTATTATTTTTAAAATGTAATAATTTTATTACTGAGCCTCCAATGGAATGCTGTGCTCTTTGTTAAGCATCATCCCTAAGCCTGGCAATGGTGCATGGATAGAACAAGAACAGCCCCAAAGTTCCCCCTCTGTGCTGCCCCACCTGGGTCTAAGACACATCTTCCAGCAGGTCCCCAAGGGAGTCAGGCTCAGCATCTCCACCAGGACTTTCTCTATTGGAGCTCTTGGTGGGAAACCAAGAAGGGGCAGCCAACCACTAGGCTACTTCCTTTTCAAGGAATCCCTTCAGACCACCCACTAGGGCAGTGGCTAGTGGCAGCTAGGGAAGGCTTGGTAGGTTCCAGTTGGTTCTGTGTTTGAACCCACATAGGAGTGCTCAGCACCGGGAGACAGAGGGTAATATGACCCACTTTTCCTTCCCAGCACTGACACTGGCTGCAGATTGGGAGGGAAACACCAAATGCCACAAGGAGCTAAAACAAAAGGTTGCGGAGATAGCAGGGCAGAGTGGAGGGAGAGAATCACTGACAGGAATGAGATGGGAGAGGTGGTAGAGACAGCATTTGGGTGTTGAAATTATCCTGTGATTTTTTTTCTGGTACTTTCCCAGAACTCTGAGACTGAACGTGTGCCCGTGACATGTCTAAAACTGTGACTTGTTTAAAGCAATTGTTTGAAAACTGTCAGAACCAGGAGCTGATAGAGATAGGCTTCTATCTTAAATATCTAAAGGGAGGGTTTCTTCCTAACTCAAGAATGTGACCAGCTCATCAAAAGCAAGCAAGCATCAATGCATCATCTTGCTCAGCATATCTCGGCTCAGCTCCTATGGTATCTTCAACTGTTTCTCAGATTGAAGAGTAATAAGTCTTTCTCAGGGGACAGCATATCTTATCTGCAGGTAAAGGACAACACCCCATTTGATAGTAAAAGATTGAATATCTACAAAGTGTTTATTTTTCTACTCTTTAAAAATTGTTTTTTGCAGAAGATAAACAGATACAAATCTCCATGGATGATTTAAGAAGTGCATAGGTGATAAATGGGGAAGAGAAAACCCATTCTGCCTCCTCAGTCATCCACTGATGTCTGAGACAGAATAATATTGGGTTATTTCCCCCTCTCTTGATCTTCCTATGCAATAAATAATGATGACAATAGCAGCATATAATATTTACGGTGGCCATGTAATTTACTGTCCAGACTGGGATGCTTTGGAGAGTGAAAGTGAGTGCTAATCATTACACCAGGACAGTCGACTTAAATGGAGACATATGGTCATCCTAATAATAGTGGAAATTTATCATGGATTCTGGAGTCAGGCCCAGATTTCAATCCCAGCTTCCCACATACTTACCCACCATGTAATTACGGACATGCTCCTTCACCTCCAAGACCCCCACTTTGTTCATGATAAAGATGAAAGATATTAACACCTATCTGGAAAGATCATTATGAGGATTAAATGAGATGGTTATGTAACATCACCTAACATAGCATAAGGCTGGCATTCCAAGTATATTCATATTCTCGGCTTTATAGCAATATGCCAGGATTAGTGAATCAGCTTGTTTATTCATTTCTTCAAGTACCCAATAGTGAATTGGACAAGCCTTTATTGAGTAAGACCAGTGGTTCTCAGCGGAAGCAGTACGACTCCATGGGGATGCTTTGGAAAACTGTGGAGGTGTATGTGGTTGCCACAGTGATTTGTGTAGTGGGGAGGGTACTATTGGCATTTAGCAAGAGGGTGCCAGGGTCGCTAGACATTCCGCAATATCCAGAAAAGTTTTGCACAACAAAGTTGTGCACTACCCATCCCTCAGGGCCTACTAGTGCCCCATTTGATATTCCTGGAGGCAAAAAAAAAAAAAAAAAAAAAAAAAAAAAAAAAAAAATCTTTATAATTATCTGAGCCTAGAGACCAATTTGATTTTACATATAAACACAAAGCATTTGTTGCAGAGTTCTAATATGCACTGGGTTTTCCCATCATGTGTCAGCTGTATAAATTAAAGGAAGATTGCACTCTGCTCAGAATTTTACTAAAAGTTGTTCACTATTTCAGAAATTCTCATTACTGGTAAGAAAAAAAAAATACCACTGTTGGATAGTAATGGCAAAATAGGGAAAGGCATGTTAGTCACTAATATAACACACCACTCTTCAACTGCGTTTAACGCCTTCACATTCACGTCATTCTCCTTATGAGTGAAAGCATTTGACTCATGCCTTCTAGTGTGGCTATCCTAGGGATTTACATAATGAAAATAAAATTATTTTATTATATATATTTTTTAAATTTCTTTTTATAACAAGGCATTATATTTGTAGCAGAAACTGCTAGATGCTCACCAAAAGCCATGTTCCACTCTTTCTCCTGGTTCCCCAGCTAGACTCTATTTCCCATCTACCCTTGCAGGCAAGTATGGTCATGTGCTTGAGTCCTAGCCAATGGCCCCTGAGCAGAAGTGGGGCATATGCCACTTCCAGGCCTGGCCCACAGAAACCTCCCAGGTGCACGCCTCCACGTCTGTTTCAACTCCCTGCCCATTATCTGCCCAGTCCTATCATGGGAGTTAGAAATAAACTTTAGTTGCGTTTAAGCTATTAAATATATTACAGTCCATTTGTTTTAGCAATAAGGAGAACCCAACTAATACAATATGGGCTTTTAAAAAAACTTACATGTGAATTTCATTTTAAGATAGTAAAAAGGACATTATAAAATATTATTTATTAAAAGGTGTTAGCTCTGATAATGTCAAGAACTGCTGGCCTAGACTATGGAAGGTGCTGTAAGGACTAGACAGAAGAATAATGCATGGTCTGTCTTAATTTATAATATCACATGCACAACTACACAGGCACACACATACAGAGTTCATTAATTCAAGGCTATGTGTGATAAGAAACAAGTGAGTTGTGTAGACTGGATGGACTCCAAACTGTTCATTTTGCAACCCCATTAGTTAAAAACATGTTGTGCAAGCACTTTCAATAAATATTTCATAGAATTCAAGACACTATCAATTGTGCATTACATCATCACGTTATATAACGTGAAGAAAGAATAATATTCCTGCCAATCAAATGGTGACATAGGCTTTCTGTAGACATTGATTGTAAAATGCATCCCAATATGAGAGGTGTTAAAGTATGAAACAATGTGAGTCTCAGAACTGATAAAAAATGATCATATACTTCTAAACAAATATAATAAGTCCTCTTAAAAGTATACAAAATGGGAGTTTTAAAAAGTTGAAATTTTATAAGTGGAAGTTCAATACCTTCCTGTTGCACCCCAAAGGATCACTATAGACACCCCAACCTGGAGGCCACAGGCCTAGACAGAGGTCCTGTGTGGGCTCAGAAGAGTGAGGGGCTCTTAGTTGAGTCTGTGTGGCTCTGGAAAAGTGGACAAGCATTCCAGAAGAAAGAAGTTGTCCAAACACAGAAA